CTGGTTGTTGTTGAGGCTGAGGACCCCCAGCTGGCCCAGCCCATCGAAGGTCCTTTCTGCCAGGCTCCGGATCCTGTTGTGCCCCAGCTGCAGCTCCTCCAGGAACTGGAGGTCTTTGAAAGTCCTGGGCCTCAGGTTGATGATGGAGTTGGTAGACAAGCGTAGGACGTGCAGGCTCAGGAGGCCCAGAAACGTGTCATCAAACAGAGAGGTGAGCCGGTTGTGGGAGAGGTCCAGCCAGCGGAGGGACTTCATGCCCATGAAGGCGCGGGGCGCGATGGTGTTGATCTGGTTGTGGTTCAGGTACAGCTTCTGTAGCTTTTGCAGCTTGACAAAGATGTTGATCTTGATGCCCTTGAGCGCGTTGCCACTCAGGTCCAGCTCCTTCAGCTCAGTAAGGCTGCAGAAGAGCTGGTGCTGGAGGTAGGGGAGCTTGTTCCCAGCCAGGATCAGCTCCCTCAAGTTGGGCAAGTCATGGAAGACCTTGTCAGGCAGGACCACAAGCGAGTTCCAGCCCAGGTTCAGATACCAGAGGTTGGAGAGCCCAGCGAACAGCCCTTCCTCCACCTTACTGAAGTAGTTGTTGTTGAGGCTGAGGGAGACGAGGTTCTGGGTGTGCAGGAAGGTGTGGGGAGCCAAGTGCTTGAGGCGGTTGCGTTCGAGGTGGAGGTGGTAGAGGCTCCGCAGCCCGTGGAAGGCGTGCTGCTCCACAGCAGCCAGCTGGCTGCTCTGCAGGTCCAGAAAGTCTAGGGCTGAGAGGTTCCTGAAGGCAGCAGCCGGCAGCAGGGTGAAGTTATTGCTGTCCAGCCAAAGGGCTTTGGCGTTGAGGGGGATGTCCTCGGGCAGGCGCGTCAGGTTGCGAGCGCTGCAGAAGACATTGAGCTCCTCGCTGTAGTCATCCAAGCTGCAGGCGCAAGGGCTGGGGCAGCGGGGGGAGTCCGCGTCCCCCTGCTCCTTCAGGCTGTCCCCCCCAGGGGGCTGGGAGGCGGTGGCCAGCAGCAGGGCCAGGGGGAGCAGGAGGGTGACGCCTGCTGCAGGGCACAGAGGAAAGGGGACACCATCAGCATGGGGCAATGGTTGCCCTAGGGGACCCCCATGGGACCCCCCCTGGGTAGGACCCCCCTGGGTGCTGGGGGGGTGGAGGGGTCAGTCCCAGCCCATCGAGCACCCTGGGCTGCTGCAGGAAGTTTCAGAGGCTGGATCTACCCTCGGGAGAGGGCATGGGATCGCCCCCTGCTACTGCTGCAGCTCAGACCCCTTGGGTGCCCAGCCCTCCCCCCCAAATTCACCCCTTTATATTGCAGCAGCAGCTCCTCCCTTTTGTGGGGAAGCTCTGGTCCCCTCTCCTCCTCCTCCCCAGCTGCCTCCTCCTCACTGACTTGCTCTTCCTCGGAGCCAAGGGGTCTCAGTGCCGCAGCCCCTGCCCATCCCTGCAGCCCCCATCCAGCTTTGGCCTCTGCCCAGTGGTGCCTGCAAGTGCCCCAGGCAGCATGGGGGCTCCCAAAAAGTCTTATTAGTAGCAGAGGGGGGAGAAAAGCTAAGGGTGAGTTCAGCGCAAAGCCCCAGCAGAGTTTTTGGGTCTCCCCCCCAACCGCCCAAGGGGTCTCAGTGCCGCAGCCCCTGCCCATCCCTGCAGCCCCCATCCAGCTTTGGCCTCTGCCCAGTGGTGCCTGCAAGTGCCCCAGGCAGCATGGGGGCTCCCAAAAAGTCTTATTAGTAGCAGAGGGGGGAGAAAAGCTAAGGGTGAGTTCAGCGCAAAGCCCCAGCAGAGTTTTTGGGTCTCCCCCCCACCCGCCTGCCCTGCCTGCCCAGGGGGGCTCAGCAGGCAGGTTCCCTGGCCTTACCTTTGCCTGTGCTCATGGTGCCCCGCGCTCCCTCTCCGCTCTCTGGCCCCGCTGACTGCGCAGGGATGGATGGAGCAACCACCTTGACGCCTGTCCAGCCGCCCGCCCGGCCAGGCTTAACCCCAGCGCTGCTGGGATGGGACATGGGCTCAGCCCCTGGGACAGCAGGGCCGGGGTGAGCATCACCTGGGACAGGCTCCTGGCTTCTCCCCCGGGTCTGTAGCTGCCCCTGTGGCAGCTCGGGGAGGGGGGTGTGGAAGGAGATGCCCAGGAGGACAAGCTATGGCCAGAACGGTGGGCCTGGGGGAGGGTGGTCCTGCTGGAGATGGGGTTTGCGTGGGCAGTGAGGACGGAGGGATGGAGGGAGCAGCCTCACGGGATGCCCCACCGTTGTGCCCTGGGCCCCTGGAGGTCCCTGAGCAGCAGCACTGACCCTTCCTGCGGTGCCTGCCCAGCTCTGCCAGGGGTGCCCTGGGGTGTGCTCTGGCAGCAGGTCCTCATGCCGTGTCAGGACCCAAAAAACCCATGCTGGGGCTTGCAGCATCCATGTTGCACGGGGGTCAGAGGCATAGGGATTACCCTTACTGGGAGACAGGCTGAAGCGCCTGAGGATTTTTGGTGATGTGAGTGGGAAATGAGTTGGAAAATAGGAAAAAGCTCTTTTCTGTGTGGCAGTAAAAGCCTGGGGGCTGAACCCACAGCCCTCTCCTGCGGGTACAATCTGT